TGCCAAGTTCAGCTCCAGCCGCACCTTGGCTCTCCTTGGCCTCATCCCTACACAACCAGGCAGCATCCCTGTACTCATCCCAGGATACCTGTCCCTGCTTCTGCTGCCTGTGCAGTTCCTTCTTGCCTTTAGTTTGCCCATCAGGTCTCCACTCAGCCATGCTGGTCTCTTGCCTTCCTTTCCAGATTTCTTACACCTGGGCATCGAGACCTCTTGTGCTCTATGGAAACCATCTGTAAAGATCTGCCAGCTCTGTCCTGCTCCCTTGTCCCTGAGGGCAGTTTCCCAGGGGGTCTTATTGACTTAACTCCCTGAAGAGCTGGAGTTTTCTTTCCTAAAATTCAGGGTCCTGACTTTACTCTTTACCTGCCCCATATCCCTCAGGACTGCAAACTCCACCAGTGCATGATCACTGCAGCCCAGGCTGCCTCCAATCTTGATGTCACCAATTAGCTCTCTTGTGTTGGTGACCAACAGGTCCAGTATGGCAACCCCTCTGGTAGGGCTGTCTATTACCTGGCATAGGAAGTTATCCTCCATGCAGCCCAGGAGTCTCCTGGATTGCCTATCCCTCACCGTGCTACTTTTCCAGCAGATGTCAGGGTGGTTGAAGTCCCCAAGCAGGCTGAAAGCCTGAGAGCATGATGCCTCCTGTAGCTGGAGTGAGAAGACTTCATCAATAGACTCCCCTTGATCAGGTGGCCTGGAGTAGACACCAACCACCAAGTTCCATTTGTTGCCTCAGTCCCTGATTCTTACTCATAAGCTTTCGACCTGTTCATGGCTATTCCTCTGAAACAGCTCTTCGCACTCTATCCATTTCTTGACGTAGAGGGCAATGTCTCCGCCTTTCCTTCCTAGCCTGTCCCTTCTGAACAGCCTGTAGCCATCGATAGCCACACTCCAGTCATGGGATTTGTCCCACCAAGTTTCAGTAATGGCAACCACGTCATAGCTTTCTAGCAGCACGGTGGCTTCCAGCTCCTCTTCTTTGTTGCCCACGCTGCGTGCATCAGTGTAGAGGCACTTCAGCTGGGCTGTTGGCCATGTCACCCTCTTAGAGGAACCTCCTTTAGTTCCTCTGAGGTCTTTCTCTGGTGCAACAGGCTGAGGGGCCTCGCCAGCACCCCGTCCCTCTAATCTTGGTTTGTTATCCCACAGCTTGTCATGGGTGAGCCTGATATTATCCTCCTCCCCCTTGGAGTCTACTTTAAAGCCCTGGTTCAACCAGAGAGGCTCTGAACCAAAAGATGTACCCAAGGAGAAAGTTGAGACTGAGATATTGTTTTGACTGTGCCTGGGAGATCATGTATTTAGTATAGCATTACTGAAGTTAACAGTCAAGCTCCTGTTGATTTCAAAATGAGTAAAAATAGTACAACACTGTCTGCTTTATAAAAAAATTTAAAATAAATTAAAAAAAAAAGGACAAAAAAACCCCCACAAAAAACCAACAAAACAAGAAAGCTTTAAAAACATCCTAAGCAGAGCTTTGTAGCTGAACAGTCATGTCACTACTGCAGGAAGCCAGACTCCAAGTCTGGGGACCAAAGTTTCTGTCACTTGCCAGTCTGTGTCCTAATGCAGGAGCTGTTCTGAACTGTGGTAGGACTTGGTCTCCTTCAGTTCCAGTCAGTCCTCAGCTGAAAGGGAGCATTTGCTTCTGTTCACCCTTCTGGAAAGAGGAATCAAACCCAGAAACAGACGCAGAGATGGGCAGCCAGGCTGATGAGTGTAATGGACAATATTTTATGGAAAGACTTAACAACTAGTGCTCTTTGAGCACAGTAAAATGAAAGTTTTGTTCTCTGCAAGCATCATAAAGTAAACACAGGCGCCATTAAAAGCTACTTGAAGATGAAAGTCAATGTGAGCACAGAAATAAAGGATATAAATTGGCTGGCCTTTAATCTGGGTTGAAAAATCAAAATTAGCCATTGTCCTGCTTTCAAACCAGTGGAAGAGCCATCAGTCAGAGCACCAACAAAAAGACCAGCTCCATTCAAAGCATGTCACAACTTCAACAGCATCCTGAGGAGTTAACTTACCAAGATACATAATGCAGGAAATACCCTTTCAATTTGACAGTGTATTATCCACTTACAGACAGCGTGCAAGACTCCCAAAAACATGACATTAAACTTGCAGACCTCACAGTAGAAAAATGCCACCATATTAAGTGGACAAGGTCATCTTCTGCATCCTCTAAACCTAGGTCTAGGTCATCTAGGTCTTCTAGGTCTTCTTACAGTATCGTTATTTGGTTCTCCTAACATCTCAGAAGTTTCTTCTGGTAATAGCAGGCCAAGAAAATCTGTCCTGATAGCTCCATGCCAGCTGCTGCTTTGAGTGTGCTATCCAGAACAACCACCCCCGCTACCATCTCAGGGGTGCACTTCAATACTGGGCTTTGGTCATTTCTACCCAGAACAACCCACCCTGAATAAGATGCTCCTTGTGTTTATGCCAACCACCACTGAGCAAGGAAGGGCCGCGATGCTCAGGCAGAAGGTACTGCAGCGTGCAGCGCTGCTGGAGGGGTTTTGGTTCATGATAAAGAGCAACAGCTCCTTGGCTTCAAGGCACTTGAGGTGAGCTTGGAGGTGAGCTTGGAGGCTCCAGGCACAGAGCAGGCAGTTCTGATCTGGTTTCCCAACCATCCTGCTTGGCCTTGTTATCCTTCTCGGCTTGCCTATAGTATTCAGCCAATGTAAACATCTTTACGGTTTCTGGTGGCTTCCCCACCCATATGCATTTTGGCTGCTGCCATTCAAAGTCCATGTCAGGGCCCCACAGAATGACTGTGGGGAAGGGAAGGGCTTGAAAGTTGCCCTGCCATGCTCACAGGTGGAAGAAGTGATGGACAGAGATGCTTCAGTTCAGCAAACCCACTGCACTTTCATCTTCATGTGGATATTCTGTTTTCTCCCCACCTCCTTCCTAGGTATCTTTGTTCTGCTGAAACATTTTCTTACCCTTAGCACAGAGGATCCACACATGCTCCCATTCCCAGCTCCCAGTCCACCTAGGCTGCCTGGGCAATTTACTTCACCCTTTCTCCAGCATTCAATGCTTCCAGCACTTTCTCTGGCTTTGCTCCTGTCAAAATTCGTTCACTGCAACTGTGTACCTGGAATGTGCCAATAGTTAAGAGTCAAAGACAAGACTTGAGTTTCATCTGCTTTGATTTCCTCCAGGATTGTTCAGTAATTAATGAGCACCTTCAAGGTCATCTTCACACACTCATCTGGTTTTATTCCATTGCTGTAAAGTACTAGACATAGTTTAGTCTAGATACATTTAACAGTAACTCTTAGGCTTTGTTCTGCCATTGCCTGTCCTGTATCATCTGAAACCTTTCCCCATTTCAGCATATATATGAGCTTCTTCATCTCCCCTTCGACTAACTCCAGGCATGGAGTCCCTCTCTGGGTTTCCAGACCAGGAATTCCTCCAGTAACTCTTTTCTGAGGTCCTTCAAGCTCCGACTGATGTTTGGTTTACACATGGGCACCCATGCTGGATCAAACCCTGCACCCATTGTATTTGGGGGAAATGATGCGTTTGTGACACACAGACCTGGAGGCACACTTCTCTCCCACCTACTCCTGCTCGCATGCTTCAAAGGGTGATGCCAAGCAGCACCTGATTCAGAAAATGTTCATTAGAAAATTAATAAAGTAACTTTTTGCTTTCTAATGAGATTTAGGTGATGCTGAAGGAGGTTGGGAAGGAAAACAAAAGGGTTACCTTGACTGATAATCCCATGGACTCTATTCACAGCCACGCGAGAGTCTGCCTTTGTCCATGCCATCGCATCAGCAGGGGTGGCTTTCGCTGTAACCCGCTCCTGTGCCGAGGGCACATCCACGATCTGCGGCTGTGACTCCCACCACAAAGGACCTCCAGGAGATGGCTGGAAATGGGGAGGATGCAGCGAGGATGCCGACTTTGGCGTGCTGGTGTCCCGGGAATTTGCAGATGCCCGAGAGAACCGGCCAGACGCCCGCTCAGCCATGAACAGACACAACAACGAGGCTGGCAGGACGGTGAGTGCTCAGTGGGTCCAGAGTTGGTCATCCATATCTGAATGGATGGCCCAATCTGGCTCCCCTGATGTAATGGGACCATGATAATTCCTGGGCAGGAGCTTTCTAGGATTATTTTCCAGGGCACAGCATTTCCACTCTCTCCAGACGCGTCCGGGTTAGGAAAAGCTAAAACATGCCTTGCTTCCAGCACAAACACCTCCGAAGGCAGCATGTAGAAACCCAACTCAACCACCCAAGATCCCAGGTCAATGGTGCAGAGGACTTTCCTCTCAAGCTACGCCTTCCTGTGTGCTCCCCGTAGTAACATTGTCCCACCCAGTGATTCGTGGGACTAGATTGCAGTTGTAGAACCTTCCCAACTGAAATATTCTATTCTGTTCTTGCTGTCAGCAGGTACCTGGGCGACGGCCTACTCTAGGTCATTGGTAAACCCAGCGCACTTTAACAGTGTTACAGCGAGACCTTTCAAACTGTGCTTGAAGAACACTAGATATCGCTTTTCCACACACAGCAGGCAGAGGTGGAAGGGTAGAAGCTTGAATCTGTAACTTGTGTTAACAACTGACAGCTTCCTGTAAAAAAAACCAACCAAACTCTAATAATTTAAAAAAAAAACGTGATTATTTTGCTCCACACAGAGGAGGTTTCTGGGGAAGACAGTGTCATATCCTTAGATTCACAACTTCATTTGCTTTCTAGTGCAAACTGTCAGAATCCGGGCATAAAATGAAGGATTGTTAGCAAAGCTAGGACAAGGGGGTCAGTCCACATCTACATGTGTCAGAGACATCCTCCAGCCCTCAACTTCTCTGGGCTTTGACTGTTCACACACCTGACAGGGAGGATCCCATTGAAAGGATCAGACCTTGGGTTTGGATTGGATAGGATTGGATAGATGATTACGGCAGCTGCCCATCTCAGTCATGCTTTTCTAGGGCGACATCTCTGTCAAGAGAGGTTTCTGCCACACACCCAAGCTCCCATGCATTTGCAGTTAGCCTACACTTTCCAGACCAAGCTCAGATCAGATGTTCAAACCCAGGCAGCAAATGCAGGTGATTGAAAAATCCATGCAGGGCATGGGGAAGCTGCTGCTGACTACTTTGTTTCCTCTCCCCTGGACAGACCATCCTGGATCACATGCACCTGAAGTGCAAGTGCCATGGTCTCTCAGGAAGCTGCGAGGTCAAGACCTGCTGGTGGGCTCAACCTGATTTCCGGGCAATTGGTGACTACCTGAAGGATAAATACGACAGCGCCTCCGAGATGGTCGTTGAAAAGCACCGGGAATCTCGGGGATGGGTGGAAACTCTTAGGGCCAAGTATGCTCTTTTCAAGCCACCGACGGAGCGGGATCTGGTCTACTATGAGAACTCCCCCAATTTTTGCGAGCCCAACCCAGAGACGGGCTCCTTTGGGACGAGGGACAGAACATGCAACGTCACCTCCCACGGGATTGATGGCTGTGACCTGCTGTGCTGTGGTCGTGGCCACAACACCAGGACTGAGAAAAGGAAGGAGAAGTGTCACTGCATTTTCCACTGGTGCTGCTATGTGAGCTGCCAGGAGTGCATACGTGTCTACGATGTCCACACCTGCAAGTAAACGTAGGTAGGTCTCCAACCAATGGGAGGTTGCTCCAGAGCAGGGCCAAGGGTTCCCTCAACCCTGTGATCAGCACCTACATGGTGGCCTCACACTTCAGAGGATGGCATAAAAAAATCCTAATGCCCTCACATAGACAGCATCAGCGCTGCGGAGGAGGCCCTTGGCATCTCACTCACACAAGGTGGTCCAAGGCTAGACCTGGCACTGCAGACATGTTAGATCACTGATCTGCTGACTTTTCTCAGGCTGTTTGGCATGACAGACTGTCCAGGGAGAAGCAGGGACAGCACAGGTCCAAGTGAGGCATGGCCACACCAGTCAGTGTGCTGCTAACACAACATGCACAGAGCTTCTAGCTCTGTCCTCCTCTGGAGGTCTGGACCATGTAGATGCCAATACAGGGGTTTCAGATGGAAATGAATTTTACGCAGTGAAAGCCGAGAAAATACAGGTTTCCCTGCTGGCTGGCATGACCATCATGGTCTCAGCAGACGTGGTGAGGAGGAGGAAAGGAGCCAACCTCCCCACACCAGCCAGGCTACTTCCCTCCTGCTCTGAGGAGATGATGGAGAAACCAACCTGTCTGAGCATGCAAACAGAGCCTTAACCGTCTCTCCTTTCACGTCCCCTTTGCCCTCTCTGCTCCCCACAGTCCCAGATCATCCCTTGTAATCTCCCCGAGGAGGATGGCAGGAAACCAGAGCCCAGCACTGATCCCAGCATAAGAGCAGAGCACACATGGTGAGGCCATCACCTCTTACCTGGGGATGCTTCACTACCCCAGCAGCCTCCATGCCATGCAGCTGCCCAGGAGAGACTTTTAAGGATCGGGGCAGATCCACTCAGTTGATCCACCTATTTACTAAGTGTTCCCTAATACGATTTTTTATCCCAGAGTGAGCTCAGAGCATCTCTCTGGGGACAGGGTGTCGGCCAGGTGAGCTGCTACACTAGCTTTGCGCATCAGTAACTGACAGTGAGACAGAAGCCATGGCAAGAAGAAATTTCTGTCCAAGCCTTCTCATGAGCCTTTCCCCATCAGACAGATTTGCCAAACCACTTCATCCAGCACAAGAGAGGCAAGGGCAGACGGGGAAGGGAGGCCTTTATCTGACAGCACAATCCCAGGCAGACCCTTTCCTTCCCGTAAGATTTCTTAGTTATCTGCAATTGGTTCACGAGGGGTCCACAGCAAGCACAGAGGCTCCAATACCTTTAGCAGGGATTTGGGTCCCAGGTGTGGCCACACACATCCCATGACCCATCTCAGCACAGAAGAATCAGTGTTTGTCCCTCCACCTGCTCCCCAGGCTACATCCCCTCCCTGACCACATGCCCCCTCATTTTGGACTTACGTTTTCATGGAGTATTGAACCTTGAAATAAAAAAAAAATATATATATTGTCTCTGTCCTGGTGGGCTCCTCCACAGATGAAGACGACCAGTAACCATGTTCCAATACCACTTCTCATGCATCAGTGATTTAACAAGAGAAATATGTCTAAACCATTAAAGCTGTGTCTTCTACTCCACTCACTTCTTCATCCACGGGAAAGAGCAACACACGGTACTGCAAAGAGCAATAAAATGGGTGAAAGACCCCTCATATGAAGCACAGAACATGGCCCTGTCACTCACACCTGTGCCTGGAGAGAATCAGAGCAAAATCCTCGGTCCTTCCTCTGTAGAGCGTGATGAAGAGCTCCTGGATTCACGCAGCCTGAGAAGCATTAGCTTTCTAAAATTAAAGGTCACTCAATAAAGAGCTCCAAGAAACCTCCCCGATTCAGAAATAAGCTGTCTTCTGATATGAATTCTATTTAAAAGTATATATTAAATTCTGTGTCTGGAAAGACTCCAAGTACCTGACTTTAAACAAAATCCCTTTTTTGTTTGTTTGTTTTTTTAATCAAGAAAAGGTATTTAATATTAAATAGAACATTTATTGCCTTGTAATTATTTTACTGTAGCCAGGTATCCTAGCACTGAATGGAAGATCTTTTTCCATCAATCTGCTGTATCCAAAGTTTTGTATAAAGTTGTAGAGGTCGATTTTTTTTTATTTTATATTCAGAAAATTTCTCTTTTTATAAGCATTATTTATTATACAATGTATATACTTGAGTTAACTAAGATTATATATTATATAAATATATATATTTGGAGAAAAATATATTTCAATTTGCTTTTTTTTGTGGTACGTCATTAAAGAGAAGGTAAAAACCTAAAAATATTCACTTGCCAGCTTCTGTGGTTTGCCTCTGAAGGTTCTTTAAGTCCTGCTTTACAACATCTATGCGAGTGGCGGGTTCTCCTTCCGCCACTTTTTGCCAGTGACAGTG